TTTATACACCTTTCTTGGTGTTCCTCTGACGATGCTAACTCTGAAGACAATGGGTAAAATGGTTTCCAAACTGGTTTATGACTTCGTTTACGCAATCGAGACAAAGTTGCTTAGCAGGACACGACCTCGAAACATTAAAAAGAAGAGTGTTTTTGTGACATTTGCTCTCATGATTCTGACCGTTTGTCTCGGTGGATTAGAAGGAATGTATGTGGAAGGTTGGACTTTTGTAGAAGGCTTTTACGCATGGTTCGCTACACTTTCCACTCTGGGTTACGGTGACTACGTTCCCGGATGGAGTGTGCTTTTACAAGTTGAAGAATCTTCAAATCCAAAATCTCAGTTAAATCTTGTTTTGATCATCTTTATTTCAGCTCTCCCAAGCATGGCAGCTCTGTGTGTAGTTGCTGGTTTTCTAAACTCACTCGCTGAAACCATTGAAGAGTTAAAAATCAAATCGAACGCTCGGAATCTCTTTCTTGGGCATCATAACAAGATAATGGAAACTGGAAGTACATATAGCAACGAAGCAATTTGCGGTTCCAGAAGAGCGCGATCGGCCACTTTGTAAAAAGGAAAATTGATTATTGCTTTTTTAAGATGCAAAAAAAGCAAATTCCTTAAAAGGCAGACTAACTATAAAATAAGGAATCGTAAAATTCAGATTTTTAATTTTCATTTAATGGAGAGCCAGCCGTTTCCAATGGGAACGTCAGAGCAGTAAACACTCCTCTCAAATGACACACGAACTGATTAGATCTTTCAAACATGATAACATTTATTATATCTCTGGCAGCGAAAGAGGGCAATATATAGCGAATCCTGTGTTTCGATTGCCTACCCAAGCGGGCGAGGAGGGCACATCTTTCCCGCTTGGGATTGCTTGCTTTGATCCACATCAAGAAAAAACATTGCATGGAGCGGACTTATAAAGTTCGTAATTCTTGGAAAAAGTCAGCTATGGGGACGCGAAAAGCGGCAGATGACAAAATAAACGAACAAGGCAAGTATACAGAAAGCGTAAACAACTCTCGTGGGCTTATTGTGCTTGTAGGCACGTCACAGTTGGCTTTCTTTCCCGGCTCTCAAGATAAACAAGTCATTCTTGATTCTTAATTAAGCGAAATCTTTTGCTATGTAATAAATCCTTCATTGACCAAACTTGTTTGGTCAAGATGCCTGGATATTCGCCTCGTCCTATTTTTCCGTGCATTCTTGTGGACCTCGACTTCGTCTAGGTCTAGAGAAATTCAGAAAAGGAACTCGGCCAATATCCAGCCATCTTGACTTCACGCTTGGTCAATTACGCATATGTGTTAATCATACGGGCCTTAAACATCATGATAAGTTTCAAGGTTGGCCTCATGGCCTCCATTTCATCTCAGTTCTCATTGGCCAAAAGAAAACTTCATCTTACTCGTTTATTAAATTCATATCGGTCTTCCATGCTTTTATTATAGACTAATAAATTAGGATTATAAACACTACAATCCAGTGCTTTCTCAGTTCAGCGTTGAATTACTGTTAACCGCTTATCAGCCTTGTACCATCGAAACTCACTGGAGATCTAATACATCGGACTTCGGATTTTTTTCCATCCAAAGAAGAGGGAGTAAACTTTTTTGAGTCACGAGTTAAAACTTTGTTTTAAAATAAACCTACATTATATCGGGAAGAAAGCCTAGATATCATATTCTATTCATAAGAGATGAAGCGGCAAATTTTAATGGCACCTCACTGTGGAGAGTCTCTCAGATTAAATAGGAATAGGTTCGCTTCTCAGGATAAGCGGTTTAAATATGCGACTGGAAACTTACGTGCGCGGCGAATTAGAGACTAATCTGCTATTTGCACCTATCCTTATGAGCCATTTGCACATGAATATGACCAAAATTTGTATATTTCAGCATAGGAAGGTCATTTAGTAGAGCGATTCTTTAAAGATGGTTAATAGATCTTCCCCATAGCGGAAGACAGAAAGATAGACTAATATAGAGATCACAGATCTATCAACATGCAAATGACAATAAAAGTGGTAGTTCCAAAGTGTTGTTTTAGTTATATATTTGAAAGAACTCTGACAAGTGCTATTCAACAGGTAATGAAAAAAACAACATGACAGAAATCCGTGGCAAATGTCCCCGTAAATGAAACTGGAAGTTTGTAAGTTTGGTTCGCAATTTTACCATAACGATAATTACGTGAACAAACTATAGATAAACAAAGAACTAGTGGCACTGCAATTAAAAACATTAGTGGGTTTGATGAATAATTTAACTGCCGCATTCAATTGAAGTAATGTTTGAGCGATTCGTGAATATTATCGACTCTTAACGAATGTCATCTTTGATAGCGTGACACGAACAGGTTGTTGCATAAATTCGAGAAGAAGTAAACAGGAACAGCCTTTAACATTCGCTTTTGGACTAAACAAGTGGTTTCTGGATTAATACCGATTTAAAATTCAGGTATGTGTTTGTCGACGAAGATTACAAAAATTTACTGCAGTTATTGCCTCTCAGGTGATGGGCCTTGTATTGCGCATGAATTCATTAAAAGGACTGGCAAATTCAATCGAGCGAATGTTATTAACACTTTCCGTTTTTTTCCTAAAATTTTTAAATCGTATTTAGCAATAAATACACTGCCAAATAATCATTGCAAATTTCAAACGAAAGCTGTATCCATGGTACAGATTCTTGGTTAAAGTTATGCGAAAATCATTTAGCAGGAAACTCGTCGCTCGGCGTTCTTCTTCGCTAATTTGTGATTATAATACAAGGAATAATCAATTTTTGTGAAGATAAGGCTACTGTTAAATTGGAGATAAACGAAGGAACACATTAGTATGATGGCTAGAGGCCAATGTTTTTCTCTATAATGTTCGTCGCAGGGATTTTTTGAGGTTTTTCACGGCAGGTGGAAAAACAAAAGGGCTGTTAATCAAATGTTGATGATGGTTACTCCGGCTCAAACCGAAGGTCTCTCACACCTGTGAACACGCTTTTTACCAACCGAAGAACAAATAGAAACGTTCTTCTACTTGGGGATTGCGTTTACAGCTTTTATTTCAAGTCTGAGAGACAGTCAGAAAGATTTAAGAATGTATATCATTTTTAATTGGTCTGTGGCAATCGAGTACCTCAGAACCTGTACATATAAGTTATTTAACGCAACCGTTGCGCAAACCGTGCGAGCTAGGCTGACTTCAAAAATACTTCTTTTGATATAAAGAAATGGGTTTCTGCGACTGCCATCTCTTTTGCTCGGGGGAAACTTGAATTGCTGGCGCCGTCTTGCTCCCATCTCGGTACCCGAGCTTAAAAATTTCCATAACAATGTCATCCGCGCTGAAAAATTAGCCCAGTAATTCGGCTTGGCCTACCTTTAAGGTTGATATTTCCCCAAGGTAAACAGTCGTAATTGCCAGGACAGCTCGATTATTAGCCTCGTTTGAAGAGGCCTCGAGTGGTCTACTTTTAGTCAATCGAGAAAATCAAAGCATAAAAACTGTCTGTGTAGAAATTAATGAGATATGATGATCCTACTCGATTGTCTGATAGGCTGCATTGAAGCATCGATCAATTCTCTAAAAAGAAACCCCGATACAAGCAAACCACTCGGTCACCGGGATTGTTTTTCTCACCACAGGATACAGGTAATTTTTGCCGAAGACTGCGCTTGATTCTGTCTTTCATGGCTCTTTTGGATAAACACATGTAAATTTGCAACACTCACAGGGAGTCTTAATTCTTGCTTAACTGGTGAGCAACGTCTGCTGGCCGTAGACATATACTGTGTTTGATAGCAAGATAGTTCAGAACTACATTTTACTTATGTAGACGAGGGGGTAAAGATGAACTTGTTAAAAAAGAATTATGACAAAAGATAAACCTCAGTTAATCCAAACTCGATCGCGAACTTAGTATTGGTGTCTGTTTTGCAGTCTTGGTCTCTTTTTCATAGAAAGAGAAAAAGAAATTTGAGGAAGAAGAGTTTGAAGAACGTAAGTATTTCGTAAAACAGGGATCGAAGTTATATCTTTCCGGAGAAAAACGATGATACGTATATTTGTTACTGTATTTCGCTACGATTATGGACTACGTAATGAATGGTTCATTTTAATTCATCCATACTTTTAGTGCGCTATCAAACGCAGGTTCCGCCGCTCGTATGTAAAAATTGTACCAAATCCGAAAAAGATCTGTTGTCCAATGCATTTCGAGTGTGTTACCGACATCAAAAAGCAAAAAATTGATGGACGACAAATGGGAAAGTTGGAGGGACACAATAAAAAGCATGAATTATGGTCTTGATTTGTTTCTTTTTCTTTGCCGGCGTAGATTGAACTCATAATCTCCTGTTTTTCGAACGATCAAAATAATTAATTTTAATTTTAACAAAATATACGACATTTTTTAGAAACATGTTTCGACAGTTCTTCTGTCATCTTCAGAAACAGAACAATGTATGCCATTGCAAGGAAAGTTTTAAATTAACACGATAAAGTTGATGATTATGTGTAGATTGCTCCCATCGATTTTAAGTGGGAGAGTTGTGGAAGCGTGATCTACGATGCTAAAATACTCATCAGAACATAGAGTGCAACATTGTTCTGTTTCTATTGTTTGTTTTGTCCAATAACATTTTGTTATACACTTTAAATTCAACTTTGTACATGTTTTTAAAAGTGTCGTATGTTTTCTTAAATTCGTGACATATCTAGTGCTATCCAGACTTTTTGGCGATTTCCATTTTGGTGAGAAAGTAATGACCTGTGTGTAATGAGTCTGTAAGCTAGATATTAACCAGAACATATCAACATCAGCCTGCTCGATCTACCTCTCAGTTTTCCTACATTTATTATCACTCGTGGACGAAAAATGGAATTGGCACTGGTCTTAAACATGCTATTGCCCTCATTAACAAGTACAATTAATAAAGAAAAATTTAACCTTGTCATTTGTTCTACTTTAGTGAAAGAGGTTCAAAACAGTCTGATGAATGAGCTTGTTAAGAGAAGTCTTCATAGAACTATTCTTCTATACGTCTATGCTTTTATTGGAGGATGTATGTTCTATGTCATTGAGTACAAGCCTGAAAGGAGCAGGATTGCTTATACAAGACTTAGGCACGAGCTCCAACGTAACTTTACAAAACGATTTAATATATCCGTGAACGAGAGTGATTTCGAACGGTTTATGCAGACAGCTTTCGAGATTGTAAGAAATGGCAACAAAGCAGATTGGGGAATTTTAACCGGTACTTCATTTGCGATGACGTCATTAACCACAATTGGTAAGTGACGTAATAAAGAATTTCAATAAGTTGTGTTTGTGGTAGTAGAAGTTGCTGTGGTTGAAGTAATAATAGTGGAAGAGCAACTGGCTGCGTAAATTATGCATAGCAGTAGCCATATGCATATCAACTACTGGTCCAAGGAAGGACGCATAGGCCACCTATGAGTGTTAGTTCTACACGCCAGAAAAAAAAGATAAAGCGAGAACAAGGAGTCCAATGGGCTCCTGGCGAGAACTAACTCCAACGTGATATCTATTTGTTTGTGAATAGAATTGCAACCAGATGCCAAAAAATCTAGGCGCAAAATAACAATATGCAACAAACTTGTGTTTTACAATAAAACGCTTTTAATTTACCGGCTTTAACTCTTATGGGTTCAGCACGCGATTTTTACATTTGTTACTCAACTCTTAAGCACTCGCGTGTGCCTAATGTATTCAAATTTTCAAAGTGTAATTGACAAAGCCTCCGCAAAGATAGACGAGCAAATACTCGACATATTAGAGGGAGATTTTTTTAGCTTTTATTCATTTTTTAAAAAATTTATTTTGTCCTATTATACCATAGCAGCAAGGCTGCTGTGGTACAATAGGAAACTGTAGAAAACGGATTGCACAAGTTCTATAAGGTCGAAGTGGACGTCATTATTTCCAATCACATCCACTTTTTCTTTGTCTTTACATCCAGGTTATGGACACATAACACCTGAAACACAACTTGGACAATTTTTCACCGTCATTTATTGCATTGTGGGACTGCCATTATCAACGCTGGCTTTGAAGTCAATCGGAGAACTAATCGCAAAGATGGTATATAAGATCGTTTATCGTGTGGAGACAAAATTACTTTTTAGGATAAGACCTCGGAAGGTTAAGATAAAAACCTTTTTCATAACTTTCACACTGATGATTTTGACGTTATGTATTGGTGCTCTAGCAGGGAAATACCTGGAAGGTTGGACTTTCATAGAAGGCTTCTACGCATGGTTTGCTTCACTCTCCACCATCGGATACGGCGACTACGTTCCTGGTTGGAAAATATTGAAAAATGCCGAAGACTCTGCAGCAGACATTTGGATATTGATAACAGCACTATCCCTCCCCGGTATGGCGACACTTTGTGTAGTCTCAGGTGTGGTTAATTCACTTGTTGAAGCTTATAATGAATTCAAAATACAATGTAACGTTTGTTCTCGATGTCCTGCATGCAGAAGGAGAAAGTCTGAGAAATCTAAAGGAAAACGCAAGAAGAAAAAGTCTGCAGGTGGTGCAACACAAGAAAAACACAGAAAAGTCGAGTCCCTATACGCTTGTAGCGAAAGGGAAAGATCGACTACTGTTTAGTCGACCAAATACATTTTAAGACGCACTAGGATACAGTTTTTTTTAACAAGAATGTTTTATAACGATCGAGATTAGTATTTCTCTTGTTTTACCGACTTTTCCATGGTAATGTCTTTTATTGCTTGGCAATTTTTGCAAGTTATTTTGTTTCAAAAAAAAAATGATAGCAATTACCACATTACTTAGTAATAGAAAGAAAAAAAATATACGAAAGTATCAGGAATGGTGATGAAAATAATAAAATGTAAATCAAATTAGTCCAATTTATTCTTCATAGTAATCCGTAAGTCACTGAACTTGGAATGAACCTAATCTTAACAATTTTCAAACCTTTTCCTTGCTTCTCCACTACGTTGCAATTAAGAGAACTTTTAAAAAACCTTTGACGATGCAAATGAATAAGCTGGTGGTTATGATGAATCATTCAAAGTGTCAATGAGTAATATACAAACATTTGGTCTTAATATGAATAATACCGACATCTTAAATGTGCCGAAAACGTGCCATCAGACGCTGTTTGTCCATCTAATGCGGCAACAAGATTAAGCAGGCTGTTAAAAAATAAGGTGAGTGAAAAACCATTGTGGTGACTTACTTTTTCTCATTATTAACCACGTAGCAAACAAGACGCATCAAATGGGCTTATTCCACAAATTCCTCGTAATTTTAGCCAATATTGAAAATAAAACTCGCTTATCTGTTATATTCGAGCAAATCCTTCATGCGACTTTCTTTCTTTTGGAATAAGAACAAAATAAAATGTTTCCAGGTCCATTTAAAGTTTGTAAACACTTGTGTACGAGAATGAGAGTTTGAAAACTCCTTTTCGAAGCATATTGTAATAAATGTTGTTCTTCGGGCAATCGTAACACGATTGACATTTTATTCGATGTTTAAATATATTCTAGCGGCACTCGGTGGCACATAAACACAGCTGCCGTGACAATGTGCGAACAAAATCTCACGAAAATGGACAAAGTTCGTAATCTTTTCTATTTAAATGGTGGTTGGTCCCCTCTAAAAAAAACCGATTAGTTTTGAAAATAACTTTGCATAAGAATAAACCTTTTTCTCAGATTTTCTTTCTTTTGCTTTTATCAGAGCACCTTATTGCCAAGTTAAATTAGCAATGTGAGTGCAAATCATGAAAATGTATAAGTTACAGCCGTTATGAGTCCTCTTTTTCCCGCACCCCACGAGCACAGCCAAATCTCGCTTAATGCAGTTGGCCTTTAGGGCATTAGTCGTCTCATTAAAGATAATTAAAACAAAAAATGTTGATGAGTTCTCTAGTCGTTTGTGTGGAGTTTGTGTCAATTCCATTCAGTGAGTAATTAGTGCAGCTTAAGTTACGGTTAAACTTCATCCTTTTTACACACTGCGGTGCGAACTACTTAATTTCAATACACAGATAAATATAATAGACACATATGATTCATTACTGACCTACATCCTTGGAAAAATGACTGATGCACGAATATGTGACAAGAAAGACCCAAATATTTCACTAATGAAAATCATTAGAATGCCACGACACATCCACGACACAAAGAGAGAAAATGGCCTGAAAGTCATCAGAAGGGTGCATGTTTTTCTTGTGTTCACTCAAATAACTTTGAACACACAACTTTATCACATGGCTTTTGAAGAAGGGAAATTATAGGCTGACATTGATCAAGAGGAGCTAAAATAAACGGTTTGCAACAACTTTATAAAAAGGAATCAAAGATAAAAACGACAGGTTTTTTTTTGGTGTAAAGACAGTTGAGCAACGAAACTAGCCAATGCCGCGTAAATAGTTAAATAAAAAAAGGACGTACAAAGCTATAGTTTACAATTGTGTAAATTGTAACCTAACAGTTGGCAACTGCGTTCTCATTGGCTTTTGTTGAGATTATTATGTGCGCACAATTACAAGTTTTCTCAAACTACAGCCTTGTTCTCATTTATGAGAAACTTTTCTCCCTGACGCCAATGATCGAGATGTGTTCCGTCCAAGAAATGCAGCAGGTTGATCGGGAGTTCTCTTAAGAGTTCACAGAATCCCCGACCAATTCCGCCTTTCTTCATGTTTGTTCACCCTTGATCGGAGGCTCTGATTTACTCTTTTATCTCAAAATGAACGGAGAGGCCCTGTAGCAATTTAGAGACTTTCGCAGTCTTGCCGAAATCTTCGAAAACCCGCAAGTTAGTTTGGTGAAACTAGGGTGTAAGCCTGGCCTCCCACACAAGAAACGAGAAAACCGAATTGTAAGGCGGTACATTTTGTCCCTACGTGAGTTCAACTTAACGCAGTGTGTGACTTTTTTTCTCATTTCGAAGAAACAAGTGTCAAAGTGACTTTTACACTTCATTACGTCCTTACTATCAAAGAAAAATTGTGCGGGTGGATTTTTGCAGTGAGAATCGAATCCTAAACGGGTAATGACAGAGCCGAAGTGTTTGTTTAGTACTACGTAGAAAGAGATAAATCGAATGGTTTCAAAATCGAACACTCATCCAGCTTGCAACACATGCACGTAATGTGTGATTTTTTCTAATAATAGCAGGCACAATAACCTTTTAAGCTATTGTTTCTTAACTCGGCCTTGAACAGTTAATGAGCTAAAGGAATGTTCCCTGGGAAGGAAAGCCCTCCTAATCTTTGACCGATCAAAGCTCTCCAGATTACGCTTCGCTGCTAATATTACAAGCCCCGGTTGTTCGAAGGCTGTATAACGCCGGATAGCGATTTATCCGTTGGGTAGCGTCATTCGCCTTTTTTACAACTGGGCCCAGATCTATAATTTTATGCTAATGCAAATAAACATCACGAGAACAATAGGCATCCTGTGCGATAGACACTTCATTTGAAACAACTCATTCCTCTTTAATGATTTTAGATATATGAAATTCATATATTTGCACTGCGGTGAAGAAACGAATTTTAAGAGATCCTCGCAGCCAAGAACACAACTGAACTAGTAGTTGACAACAGGACCTGAAAAAAAAATTCAAGCCCGTACGGGATTTGAACCCCTGACCTTTGCGATACCGGTGCAGCGCTCTACCAACTGAGCTTAACAAGCGAACTGGGAGCTGGTCGATATGTTGGGTCCAAATAAACCATCCAAGTGATGAATAATGATTATAGATATATGAAATTAATATTTTTGCACTGCGGTGAAGTGAACCGGCTTGTCAGCTCAGTTGGTAGAGCGCTGCACCGGTATCGCAGAGGTCATGGGTTCAAATCCCGTAGGAGCCTGAATCTTTTTCAGGTCCTGTTGTCATTCCTCTTTGTTTGTTTATTGCTCATGTAGTCTGGCAGCACTAATTCAGCGATTGGCTCAACATTCATTTTTGACAGACATGTGTGGATATTACATCCTGTCTATCAAACGTTTATCTTCCACAACTTTCTTTGATTAGCCCAAGGTCATGTTTTGGTCTTAAACAGACGACGAATGCTGGTTCAAATATGGAAGTGTTTCTTTACATGTTAACTGCAACTCAAATAGGTTGGTGTTTTACGTTTAAAGGAGATCGACAGACTGCAGGCATGCTCGATGCATTTCGTTTAAGATAATTCCTTTACGTCTTGTGACCTACGGAAAATTTCTTAGCTTGTTAAACGCAATCCTTTCTAATCCTCTAGATCTTTAACCATCTTTGTCCATATTTCCCCTTATTTGTCAATCTTTCTGTTTCTCAAAATATCATGAAGTCACTGAGGTTGAAAGCAGTTGAGACGTCGCGAAAAATTATTGGACATATCTGACTTGTTTCCTATGAAATCTACCTGGTTACAGTGCAAATGAACTGGAATGAGACAGATGCCCACAACATGGGCATCTGTTTATCTAAGGAGCTAAGTTAGTATTTGAAGTGAAGAGTGTAGTTTCTAAAAGATGCATATTTATTTTATTTGACATATCTTTCGATTTCGATTCTTGAAAAATACATGTACAAAATGTTTTCATGAACACTTTGAATGCATTAAATGTGACAGATGCAAGGGGTCGGTTTTAATGGATAAAAGACCGTTCGGTTACAAAGCTTTGATGTCGTGAGTGTCAAAGCGTAAGTACGGGATATGTTGATTTGACATTTAATAAAATGATAATGATCTGGGTCAAAGAAAAATTGAGATAAACTTTTTTTCACTCACAGGTTGAATTCTCCTATACTTAGAAGATATGAAATTCCTACCATTTCACCGATGTTTTTCCTGTTATTCAACTCAACCAGATAAATACAAGAGAGGATAAAATTTATACGTTTCTTGATAGATATCAAATCGGGGGTGAGTATATTTTCAAATGCATTCTTTTGACGTTTCCAACGAGGTTGCATTTTGATATTTGTTGACTTAGTTAAGGTATTAATTAACTTGGCAACAAAATACACTTAATATGATTCTCTACCGTTTTATGAGTAGGAAGCATTGCAAATAACAAAACCATGAAGGAACTTCTCAAGAGAAGTCTCTGGAGAGGAATTCTTCTGTATGTCTACGTGTTCCTTGGGGGCTGTTTATTTTACTATATTGAAAGAAAGCCTGAAAGAAACCAAGAATTGTCTTCAAGGCTATTGAGGGAGCTTCAGCGTGGATTCGCAGTTAAGTACAACATCTCAATTAACGAAAGTCATTTTCGACGCTTCGCGCAGAAAGCGTTTGATGCCGTTCATGTGGGAACTAAACCGGATTGGGGTATTTTCACTGGTATGACTTTCACAATAACAACTTTGACAACAATTGGTAGGTGACTGGCTAGATGCTGACTTTAATTCCGTTAGTTACAAGTAGCATGACTTCCCCATCTTCGACATATGTTCCCAAGAAGCTTTTACCTTGGTGGCTCGATGGACCCACTGTTATTTACCAAAGAAAAATTAATCTGTTAGAATGATCTTCTTTATAACTTTTTCTTGGAGGGGGAGAGGATTGGGGGGTGAGGGGGATCTTCCATTTGTTCATTGCGATCTACATGAAACGATCGAAATTATACCATGACCGTTAACTATTGGGTAATTTTAAAGATTAATTTTAATTTTGACTAAATTTCGTTTCTTTCTTCGCTGATGATGACCCAGAACTTAACATACCTCCAAAACTTTTCCCTTTTTGCCGCACTTAAGAGGGGCAATATATCATACTGCATAATTTTCAAGCTGCAGTCTTGAAGTCCTGCATATCATAACACTCTTTTGTCTCGCTGAAAGATAGAAAAGAAAATTAACTCTATTGTTGACAGTAAGAGGTAGGAGCAGAAAAGTCAGTCCATCAATTCGTCCCATTGTGCTGAGTCATGTTTTTATTAATTTTTTTTATCTTTGATTCCAGGATATGGCCATATTACTCCAGAAACGTCACTCGGTCAATTACTCACTATACTTTACTGTCTTTTTGGGCTTCCTATATCACTGCTCACCTTGAAAACGTTTGGAGAGATAGTCTCAAGGATTGTTCACAGAATCGTATGCGTAATAGAGAAAAGAGTGCTTTGCAGAGAGAGACCCACAAACATAAAATTGAAAAGTTTTTTCTTGACGTCAATTCTGATGTTTTTGACATTATGTGCTGGTGGACTCACACAAAAGTATGTGGAGGGCTGGACTTTTACCGAAGGCCTGTACGCATGGTTTGCTACACTTTCTACCATTGGGTATGGTGACTATGTTCCCATGTGGAATTTGCTGAAGGGAAAGGGAAACTCTTTGAATGGCCTCTGGTTTCTTCTTTACTCGCTATCTTTGCCAAGTCTGGCAGCTCTCTCAGTAGTTTCTGGTCTACTAAATTCACTCGTTGAAGCGCTCGCAGAGTTCCGATTTCACCTTACGGCTTGCTACAAAAATGTCAAGAATAAAAAGAGGACCTGTCAAGGTCGCCAAGAAGAATTGATCCTTAGACGAGTTTTATTGGAGAGCTACAGAGAAGCGAAGTATAAGGAGGGCAACATAAGGCCACGATCTGCTTCTGTTTAAGCTTTTCTAGTTCGTATTTCTTACACTCTAAGCATCATGATGTAAGATTTGGGAAATGACTGTAAAACAGTAATTTCTTTGAATTTCTAGAACGCCTGGTCACGGTGACTTGGATACTCGAATTTTCTGATGTCACACCATGGAATTTTGCTTGAACGTTTTATTAGTTTATATAAATATGATTATTCTTCTAGAATAGTTGTGTTGTAGCCTTCCGGGATGGTTCAGAATACGTTGTAAATGGAAATATAAAACTCGGTCACCTGGGGAAAATAGCTGCTGTTGTCGGCAAAGACAGACTGTCTGGAAAGCTAGACTGAGAGAAAGTTACTGTGGTATGGAAAAAGTGTCTCATATAAGATTGGCCCACTATTTCTATTTAGCAAGCACGGTGACCTTTCTTCTTTCTTTTTTTGTAGTTCTCGAAACGGAGGTGGGGAATATTTAGGGAGAGTTTAAAAAAAAAATCGTTCGACACTGAGGAATCAGTTATAGTGATGAAATTAAAGTGGTTGTCCCGAATACTTCAGAGCGAGGCACCCATAGTCCCACCTGTTTTTCCAATGATTGCCATAACAGAACCCCTCCCCACCCCCCTTTCCCCCCCTCCCCCCTTTACTTACATTTGCATAAAAGTGGGCCGGGCTATTCAAGTGAAATTTATCATTTTTACCAAATTTCCATTCGGTTTATTATCTTCCGTGCAAGCTGAACAAACAACGTGCTATGGAGAGGTTCAGCTTAGATCTTCGGTACGGTTATAACAAAGCCAACCAAGAGGACGATCCAGGCATAAATCTCCAACAAAGAAAGAGCACTCGGACATAAGTTCAAAGAAATTTTTCCTTTTTTCGGCGACACTGGAATATCTTTAGAAAGGAGTTTGAAAATGTCAATAGACCAAGGCATAAACTGCAAACACGGCAAAACCATGCTGCATAAGGTACCAAATTATTATCGGCCGATATTTAATCATACATATCATATAATGTTCGTGAGAGAGCGATACTAAACCTCTGGAGATTGTTAAGAACCATTTTGATGCAAGATATCCGCGCCAAGTTGATGTGCTAGGCTCCATTGCCGATTCTCTTTAAACTCCGATGGCTAAGCGAGCATAGGCTTTTTTTCGACTGGTAGATGGTTAGTGCGGGTACATTTTGGAACACTAAAGACGTAAAGACGCGCTGGATGATTTCGATGTAAAGACTTTGGAAACTATTTATTTCAGCTCACATTTTTGGTCGGAATTCTTTTCACGAGATAATACCGAACAATTTACGTATCATATGATATGGACGATATGCCGTATTGATAACCGACATCCCATGAATAGACGACTCTGAATCGCACATTCCCTCTAATGACAAAGAGCCGTCGAAACCAATTAGCATGACAACAGCAAAAACAAAGCAAATGAAGAGAGCATCCTCTTTTCACGTTACAGGCTCTCAGCATGATAAGGAAACTTCTCATCAAGGCTCTTTGGAGAATTTTCCTTCTTTCATCTTACGCCATGTTTGGTGCCTGGCTGTTTAAATAGGTAAAAAAGACACCGAAAACTTACAAAGAGATTTCTGTTGACATGTTAAGGGAACTTCGCCAGAAATATCCGGCTTTGAATCATTCTGAATTCATCGTCTTCGTACAAAATGCTTATGAAGCTGTTAGAATTGGCAGGAAAGTAGAATGGACTTTTTTAAATGCTTCCTTCTACGTGTTTACCATCTTAACAACGATAGGTGAGTTAATCATGATTTCAAAACTTATAGAGGAAAAGTACCTACCAAACACAACCTTTTGATTCGATATGGAAATGAAACGAGTGACTTTGGCATAAGCAATGACCACGAAGTATGATATTAGCAGCGTAATTAGGCTGTAAGGTACCACAAAATGACTTCTTTTGAACAGATGTTGGCGATTCGTCCGAAGTTACTGAATTCTAGGGAATAATAAATTGTGCTCCTGCAAATTCGCTTCAGTCATAAATCTATAAAGTCTTGAGGCTCTAGGTGTCAGGTTTTTCGTTATGAAGAATTCCTGGTTTACTTTCCATATAGATAAGCATTCTTTGTTAACAAAACTGAATCTATGGTTTCCTTCTTGTACGTAATGAGCCATTTTTTTGATCATCTTACGCTATGTTCTGTGCTTGTTTGTCTAAATATGTCGAAAAGACACCAACAACTCAAAACCTTATCGATAGTTTTCTTTTGACTTGCTAAGGGGACTTTATCGTGGGTGCCTAGCCTTGACGTTCCGAATTTTCTGTTTTTGTACAAAACATGCATGAAGTTTCTTGAATTTGAAGTAAAGTGGAAAGGATTTTTTTCATTGCTTACATCTACGTATTTACCATTTTAATGACAATAAGTAAGTTGAATCG